AACATAAATCTAAGCATTGTTACATGAAGACAAGTCCAGATATTGTGGCCAAGGTAGCAAATTGTTGTTTTAATTTACATAGCATAGCAATGATATTATTTTTAAAGAATATTGTTTATAGCAATATTTTGGGCGGGACATTTTGAGCATATTTGAATATTGGGGGGGGGGGATGTGTCCCCCCCCCCCCAATATATTATAATTACGGGCCTTGGTACTTGGTGTGGTGTGTAAGTAAACGTCAGCACTGGGGAGACAAAGGCGACCGTGCGTGGTGATGGCTTACCTACCCCCTTCTGTGTGCCGTGCCAGCCTTCATCAGTGGTCGCTGATACCAATCGTCCTCAACAGTGTGTGGTGGCTATAGCAGAATCTTCGTCTTTCTCTTAGTATATTTAATGCACACTGTGCATACAAGTTTACATTTTCTTTCACAAGTAAAAATGCGAGTACATTTTATTTTACGATGCCTTCACAGTCTGCTGCAATACCCTTTCGTACTGCATTTCACAATTTTCATTCATCGTTTTAGACAACTCGACATTTTAAGCGAACCTTTTAAGAGAACCACGCTCACGTATTTCTCTACACATATCTAACTAACAATTACCATTGAGCCTTCCGATTCTCGCCGATTTTTCTTTGCCCAGCAAAAGAAAAAAAAACAACTCCCAATGTCACCGATATCACTCCCCCTTACTTGCCTTACGAATTGTGCGATATAAGAATACACACGAACGTGCACCGCGCAATTAGCTCGCCCACCGCACATTCGCACGTACCACGGGTTCACTTGAAGTGTGACGTCGGTCGCACCTTCGTTGCACGTTCTTATCAAGTGCTGTATGTTCCGTTCTGGATTTATTTCTTCATTTTTGGGGGGGGGGGGGGTATAAAAATACCATCAGCACTGCGGCCACCCCCCCCCCCCAATTCAATCCACAGCAGCCTCCCATGTACCCCCCTCCCACCGCCCCCTCCACGGATGATCGCGCAATCAGTTCTGAGGGCACAGCGGCGTCTCGTTAGAGAACGATCGCTGTGCTCTTCACGGGACGTCTTGCCTCAATTGCGCGGAACGCAGGTATCCAGTCCCAATCTGTTTTTTTTTCCGTTTTGTTTCCGAAATAATTTACTGTTATAGAAAACCTTCGCCGAGTTTGAAGAGTCTTTGAGCTGCAGTGAATCAACGATGATGCCGATTTGCTGTACTGATGTCTGATTTGTCTGTTGTTTCACAATTGCACTCAATAAAAATAAAAAAAATTGTTTTGAGCAGCGATGGTTACACGATCTCGTTTTACTTGACACGTTTGGCCAAACTCCTTGTCGGCCGATGGCATTTTTTTTTTCTCCACCTGCTTGCTATACTGGCTCCTGCAGGCATCACACACCGCTGTCCTCTGGTCTCACGTGCACGATGGGCCAGCTCTGTGCGCGATCCACCAACCCTGCGTTGCCCGGTCGCTGCGTGACAAAGCCGCGTGGCTCCACACCACGCTCGGCCTGACCCTCTGTGACCTCGCGCGATTGTTCCTGAGCATGTGACGCGGAGGAGTCCGTTCCAACTCGGTTCCTCGTGACTCCCCGGCCGCGAGCGCGCGGTTGCGAATTCGCGCCGAGGTTCATTCTTTATCATTTAGAAATCAATAGGGGGGAGGGGGGGGGGGCACCTGACATGTCAATATCTTATTCGCAATTTAATAGGAAAATATGTGCGAAAGTGGGGAAAGGAGATGGGCTGTGGAGATGAGCGACAGCGTTCGAGAACCCCTGGGTCGCATGTACGTCGTTCGGATGCGAGTTGAGGTGCACGCGGCGTGGATTTGGGGGCTGCCAGAACTTTTTTGAACGATTTGTCATTGCAAATTCGCGGAGAAATGTTTCCAGCAGTGGCCAATAGACGTTTTTTTATAACTAGAGAAAACTACGCATACGCCTATGTACAGCGTCACTGGATAAACACACACACATACTCAGTGCGTATTCCCGACTCTGGGATTAATTCCAAAAATTCAGAAAATCCGGCCTAGATATGAAAAAAATGGGATTCATCTCACATGACATCACTTCTTGTGGTGTCAACTGCACGATGCTACGTCCATGCTTTTCCCACCACAGGTGACGTTACTCCTGTTAGCGTGAAGACACTTAAAACGATTACATCAAGCAAATGATCCGAACACCTTAAAGCCCGGGCAACGATTGTAAAGTGTTTCTTTCAACAACAACAAAAATCTGAAATTATACATTTGTTCTTTTCTTAAGAAATCTTCACCCCTGATGAATACGTAGATAAATACGCAAAATACTGCGCATACCTTACAAAAGTAGAAGGCAAGGGGCGATGAGACATCGCCATTTAAGTTGAGACGCGTCTCTGTGATTCACCCTCCAGCTCGTGCGCGTCACACGCGCGTCATCGCCCGCTGAAGCACTGCGCACAACGCCCCAGCAGCTTAATCAACCCCCCCCGCGCCCGATGACTACGCCTCGACTAACATTTAATGAAACTCAATTGGTGCGAGCCTCAGACTTCCACACTCACCAACAGCAAAAAGACAAAGATCCCACCCGATAGTCCCCCAAAGACTGTTGGGGCAAGAGCTGTTTAAGCAAGCACCTATGAAGGCGGAAAGCGGCATAACGAGGAATCGGTTGTGGCCAGCACCATTGTCGGTTGATGTTCACACATCGCTCCGGGTACTCGTTTGAGGCTGAGTTGACCTAGGGGATGCCCCAAGACTCGCAAATTTTCGGTCGCCGGGTGCACAAATCACACTCCACCACTGCTCCTCCTTCGCTGACTCACTCGCCAAAAATGACAAAAATCCGCCATATAGCCTTAAACAGACTGTTGGGGCAAGTGCTGTTAGCGAGCACCTATGGAGGCCTGCACAGCACACGAGAGGGTGGGAGACCAGCACCACGCCTGGTCACTTTTGTCTCCCTCTTAGCGATGTTTACACACCGTATCCAGGTACTCATTTGAGGGCGAATCGACCTAGGGGAGGCCCAGGACAGGTTCAGATAATCGTCGCTGGTGTTGGTGGCCGTGAGCGGGAACTGAACTCGGGTCGCTGTATTCGTAGCGCAGCGCGCTCACCACTGCACCGCCGCTCCCCATGAACCAACACACACACAGATATCTTTAAAGCGACACTGCGCTGGCAGATAAAGCGAAGGTCATGACACAGAGCGCCCCTGTGGAGCCTCACAAGTTTGACCCCTTCAGTTAATGAAGCTGAACTTCCCGTTCGCATGCACTCGCTCCTACGGGGGCGGGGCGGGGGGGGGGGGGCGAGCGATGGTGGGGCGGGGGGAACTCCTTTGCAACGTGGTGCTGACGCCCCATAGAGGCATGCATTGCCCCATAGGCACCAGGAGCAAGCGCGCACCAGCCAACGGGTGCTCACACCAAGCCACAGAGTGTATAAAGATGCTCAGGTGCCTCGAGGTTTACGGTCAGGGCCCCCGTGTCTGCGTATAAACAGTGTCAGTGCGATGGTTATTTCAACTCGTTCGGTCAACGGAAACTCCTCTAACTCATATTCTTAGCTCTTTCGGTAAAGTCACGTTGAAAGGAAACAATAAAATAATAAAATATATAAATAAAACAATAAAAATTCTCACGACGTTTCGACCATAACACAAACGACCGTTGTGTCGAAACGTCGTGAGAATTTTTTATTGTTTTATATATATTATTATTTTATTGTTTCCCTTCAACGTGACTTTACCGAAAGAGCTAAGAATATGAATTACTGCAGTCACGAAAGCTTTAAATCAAAATTTTTCCTCTAACTCATGTTTAATTGTCTGTTAGATAAAGAATTTGAGTGGTCCTGGCATCATTCGTCAGTGATGTTAGCCATGGCTGGGAACCGCTGGGCTATCATTTGTGGCCAGGTCTGAAAAAGAACTATATGGCTCAGTGGGCCTTACCTAGTCAAATAAAAAATAGTTTAGTTTAGACAACGTACTCGGTCGGTACGACTCATCTGCGGCTGAATCGACGGATATTTTTTTGGGAGGCATTTGTAACTCGTACAAATTAACGTGCTGTATTCAATCACAGTAAGAGAGGCACAGCAAAACTGCAGATAACCACGTGACCCCTGTTGAGCTCAGTTCGCCGGCACCGCAGCGCAAACCTGCACGCACGGATGTTTGAACGGCGCCGCACGCCGCCACTCGCACTTGCACAAAGACCCTGTCAGGCCCTTATCAAAAGCAAAGGCAATGTTATCTGCGTATGCGTCACACCATGGCAGCACCTCCAATGGGCACGTGTTAATTTACGGGGGAGCTGTGAACGCCCGTTGTCCACCCACGCATTCCACAACCACTGCCAGGTGCTCTCCGGTCCCTTGCCCAAATAAGCATGGAGGCGACCGGTGCTCATCTCCCCTGAGGCAATTCGTCGAAATGTTGCATTCCTTTGGTGGGGACGAGTCTATCCGTAGGACAACTGCTGTTGACCTTCCCCACAAAGTTGTTCGTCACTTTATCGAGGTTTACACACCGCACCAGCCACGAATATTTTATGCCGGATAGTCCCAGGCAAGGCCCTGGACGAATTCGCTTATTCGTCACTGATGTTGGCCGTGAGCGGGAATCAAATTTGGGTCGCCGGACCCATAGCACGGTGTGCGAACCACGAGATTACACACCATTGATAATGGTTGGCTACGTACTGTGCGAAAGAAGTTCAACAACATACAGAGACAAAGATCCCCCAGTTAGCCTTCAACAGACCACTGGGGAAAGTGCTGTTCGCGAGCGCCTTTCAAGGCCAGCACGGCACACGACGGGGAGTGGGTGAGCAGCACCACGCTCGTCAACGTGTCTCACCAGTGCCAATGTTTACGTACCGCACCGGTGGAGGGGATTAATTATTTTAAGGCTGAGTTGACTTACACACGCAGGCAAGACGCTGGTGCATGTGCGTGGAGGGGGTGAGGAGAGCGAGGGAAGTCGTGGCCGAGAGGGCAACTCACCGAACATCTCGCCGTTCCGCGCGTATTCCGTGACGAGATAGAGCATGTTCTTGGTCTCCATCACCTGTCGCCAAGGCAGGGCAAGGGAGGTGTGGCGGAGGGGGGGGGGAAGCAACCGAAGTTACAAAGGGAGACTTTACACTCGGCAGCGGCGGGTGTACAGGCTCACAGCGGTGTAGCGCGGAGGCAAGAACGGACAAATTCGTCAGTTCGCGTCTCTCTCTTTCTCTCTCTGCTCCGAAGATCGTCGAGCCCAATTTTGTTTTAAATCATCAAGCGCATCAGCTTCCTGAATTACCGTGGACTACTACTGTCAATTTTGTGTGTGGTTTTTTTTTGTGTGTTGGCGCAGTCGGTGCACAACATGATGTGACAGAATAATAATAAAAACATTGAGCAAATGATCTAGGGTAACTGGGATATCGCCGACAGCACAGGAGGTATTAAAACACGCCAAAAATGTCCAGCTGCCTCGGAATGACGACAGCACATTAATCATGCGTCCGCACTTCATTTCAGCCTCGATTTCATTCAGCGAAGTTATACCGCATTCTCTGCATTAAAAGGGACACTTTTGTTTTCACTTCATAATGTAAAGACAAATTCGACGGTGCCGCTTATTCAGTGATCCGGTAGATGTGTGCGCGTGCACATGCGTACGTGGGCAGAGATATACATCATAACAGTATCGCTACGTTTTGGGGGTAATATTTTACATTCCGGAGTTGGGGGTCTTATAAATCAAGAGAATACGGTTATACTAAATTAGTTGGGACAATCAAACCTTATACGGCCGCTTGGCTTCTCACAGTAATCTCCGTGCGTAATTCACCACGTGACTTCGGTAATTATTCAGCGATTATTTTAAACAGCAGTCTAAAACAAAAAAAACAAAAAAAGGTTTTGTTTGTTTCACGGCGGCCGAGGGCTGGGCACCTGACCAAGCAAGCGGTGAAGTGGGTTTGTTAATTGCGCACCCGCTTGAGCAACACTGCCGCACGCCCATTAAAGGCGCTCGCATTTTCTTGAAGGATGCACGGCCGGGTGGGTGGTAGGGGGGGCATGGGGGGGGGGTTTGTGGGGGGTTGGGGGGCACCTACGTACGTTAGCTCTGAGACTTGCCACCGTCATCAATCAAAATTCCAACCTGCCTTGGAACTGGTTTGGAACCCCCCTGTGGTCTGTCATTCGCCACCCGCGACATGTACGTTGGAACCGATGACTAAAAACGAAGATGATGGTGATGATGATGATGATAATGGCCAAAACTACAAACGTGTTTTTAATCCACTAATAATATAATGACGGGCGGTGACGTGCCGAGTAACTCTGCACTTTAGCAGAATTATCACAAGCATTCACATCATTGCGGGTTATTCTGGAATCTAAAATACTGGCCTTATTATGACACCCTAAAAGGGCGGCTTTGTTTGTCGACTGGCTCTGAATCACTGCAACCCAGGCCTGAGGCGTAAATGCTCACATTTCAGCTTATTAGTGGTCAGTGTTAAGTTTTATTGCCCGTATACCACCGTGATAAATTTGTACAATTTAACTTTCCTCTGCAATGACCATCATTGTTTTCCCAAAAAACAAATCCGAATTCCAACAAGTTAAGAGAGAGCCCATTTATATGTGCATTTTTTTGGAAGGGTATTTAGACCCGCTAGAGGAATTGACGGTGGGGGGGGGGGGGAAGGGGAGGGAGCCCCCACCCCAAGCCACTGTCTGTCTTGTGACCGTGTCTGATACATCTGTGGAAATAACTAATTATATTTAATCTCGAATAACTCCGTGCCATCTCCTCGCCTACATTGATGGGAGCGACGCCAATTTAGACATTCACCACGGGTGCGAGTCGACACGATTGGCCGCAACGGAAGATCGGTTTGCGTCATTGTGCGCGTCTGGGCCAATGAAATTGCTGCTCTTGCAAGGCCACAGTGGGATTGTGTTTTGTTCACTCTCACAGTAAGAGAGTGCTGCAAGAGGCCCGTACAGTTTTCCTGTAAACTACATCACTGTGCATTTTGCAGCAGGGGCATCCGCAGAAAATGATATTACGAATTCCTGGTAAAAAAAAAATATATTTCCTCATACTTCTCGGTATCCTTATCCCCAGGATGGGTAATTCATGTAAGTTGTCAAACTGTACCACCGATTAGCACGGTTGGCTACGTATGGTGCGAAAGAAGTTCAACGCACACATTACTTTTATTCTCCCGTACCTAAGCGCCCCTCCTTTATCAGCTCGCACTGACCAGCGTGGTGAAGTAGGGTCAAAAATAACCCCGCTCCCTTCCCCACCGTGACCCATACAACGTGGGGAGGCCCTCATCTAGCAGTGGATTGACAAAGGGGGGCTGTGCATGGTACAGATAAGTTGCAGCTGCTTTGGTGAGTGTCGTGAAGCTAACTAATAAGTTGGCCACAGTGGCAAGGGCAGGGTTTTGTACAAATCCTGCCCAGATTCTCACTGCTGTTAGCGAGCCTCTGTTAATGCCAACAGAGAACCATTGCATTCTCAACCTCCCCCCCCTCTGCCTACCCGCTTCCCCTCTGCAAGGCTGACGTCGAACACACGACACCAGTTACTCATTTCAAGTGGCGTGAGTCAAACCTATGGGTGACCCAGGCCGTGCTTTAGTAGATATCAATTGCTACTGGCGCGTATGCACCGGTGGATGCCAGACCAAAGCATTAGCGGACACACATGCACGTTTCTGCGTGTTCGCATTGAAGGGGAATGCTACGTTAAGACGTTTCCACGGGTTAATGTCCATTTCATTGTGGTTTACGTTGAGAAAGAGTAATTGCAACACATTTTATTTTCTCCATAGAAATTAACTGGTTGATCAGAAGTCTCGTTTCTCTTTGTGTTTGCATAGCTACGGGGGTTCTTTGTCGTAAAATTCATGCAATATTTTTTGGCAACAATCTCAACGTATTTGTTCATTGTTCTCGAGGCTTTCATCGGCGATGAGGCTATCGAGTGTGCAGGCGGTGCAACTGCACTGGGGGACTCACGGGCCAGAGAAGCCCAAAAGCGCCGAGCTACGAAGAGAGCGCGAGAGAGACGGGGATGGGTGGGGGGGGGGGGGGTCCCATTTCATCCCTAGCGCCAGGGGCCCACATGCCAACAACTGCACCATACGCCGCTGGGTTTCATCCATCGGATTTTACAACGCTGGTGGTTGTGCATCGGGAGCCAGGGGTCCAACCTGTCCCGCCGTGACCGTGGGGGCAGTGAGCGAGCGGCGGATGCGTGCCGAGCGCGAGCGAGCTGAGTGATCGTGTGCACACGCTCGCGCTCGCGCACAAGCGAGCGCGAGCGTGTGCGCGCATCCGTTGGAGCGTGTGCCTTTCGCGCACGCCTCTAAACAGTTATTACACGAAGCATTTTCTCTGTCGTCCCTCTCTCTCTCTGTGCCGTCTGGCTCCCGGCCAAGGCAGGAAGGGGCCACTGACGTCAAGGGACCAGGAAGGAGGGGGTCGCATTACTTTCCTGGTACGTCAGCTGGGTAACACTCACGTGCACGCACACACGCCTCCTCCACCACCGCTGGCGGACACGCGCACGCGGGCACACGCGGGCGCCGCCAGAACCGGATGGCCTTCCGATTATTTAAGTAATCCATGCATCTACCGATTATATCGGTTCGATCATTCGACTCATCGGATCACGCGAAATAAGTTTTCGCACAAGCAATCTCTCAGCTCCGTTTCCAAGTTGTGCCACTGGACGGGAGGTGACGGACTGGGCTTGACGATGTCATCAACATCGTGCCAAAGCTGCGTGCCAGCTCTACCAGCGCAGCACATCGAGCAGAACGACAGCGTTCTCACTTCAGCTGGATGGACTGTGTGCATCTCGCTGAGGCACAGCGGCGGTTGGCATGGGCCCCCTGGTGCCCATGCAGCGCCCGAGTTCCTCCGTCCCGTGGGTCGGGTGCAATTGCACCGCCTGCACAAATCCGATAGCCGCGCCGCTGCCATCTTGCAAGCACGCACCCTCGCAGGCCAATGCGCCCGGCATGTGGTACAACCGCTGTCGTGTGGCACACTTTGCTCGCTGTAAAATGGCATGGCGGCGCTCGCAAAGCTGGCAGAGGATCAATTGTGATTTCGTTTTTTTTGTTTCGATCAAGCTTTGCAGCTAACGGAGGAATTAAGACAGCGAAAAAAAGCTGTGACTATCATAAATGTTGTTGCACTTGGGGGTTTTTGTTCTTCTTCGAACATTCAAGCACGGTAGTGGTGTAGTCAGCCATTCTTATCTGCCTCACGTTTCGCAATCTCTTTTTCTAAACCTCCCCCCCCCCATTTCACCCCCCTCCCCGCCCCCAACCAGATCGCATCAAGCCCCCAGAGTGTCTGGGTGGCAGTGCAGTCTCACACCCCCCCACCACTCCCCAAAGCCCACAGGCACAATCTCCCCTCGAGCCCCCACCTTAAACTGCACGACCCCCCCCCAGCCACCCACCCAACTCACATTCTCAGCCACGCTTGGCTTTGCCAAATCTGTTTGTTTATTTATGAGAATCCCGAAGACATTGACGTCAAACTGGGCAACGATCAGGTTACGGCACTAAGCCAATGGGCCGACACCCAGTAAATCATTCGACGGCTAAAGAATCCAGGCCCGCTCTGCTGACCTCACTGCCTGCCACCCTCACCGCATGCTCCCTTTGGGGAGCCACTCCGGCATTCACTTAGGAACTCGTTTCGACCAAAATAATAGGTTTTCCGTTTACGGTTCGTAGTAATATTTTTTTTACTTTTTTTCTTTAAACCGCCGCATGTTTCAAAATGAAAGAGGAAAAAAAAACGATGGAAAAGTGAAAGATGCAACTTATTTCGTCAATATAATCGTCGTCGTCAACCACGATCGATCCACTTCTGGATGAGCGCCTCCCGTAAGTCGTTGCCACCACTTAGGTGTCGGCAAACAATTCAGAAAGGCACAGTGCTGGGTCTGCTTCAGAATTAAAAAGTGTTCGTACCAAATGCACTGAAGAACTGGTCTTGTTAAGTACTTGCTGATAGCACTGCAAAGTATGTCACACTAAGCGCCGCATCGCAGTATTTGCAAACCTCCGTGCACAGCAAAACGCTGGCTATAAATTTATAGTTGTCACGTGAAAAGTCTCGTTGGAATGGTGCTGAGGTCCTAAATGTTAGCCTCGTTTATTTGTGTGTTTTTATGGAGGTACAATTGCAAACGCTCAGGGTCTGGTGCACTGAAATAATGATGACTGTTAAAATACTTTTTCATGTCCAAAGCTTATAGGTTGAGGAATATTTATCACCATCATTTACCAACTTAACTGATATAACACCATGAATTGTGATCAATAAAAACAATTTATTTCCAAAATATTTTTTTGTTCTTACAATACCGAAAGAAAATATCTGTGGCAGACTGTAAAAGACAATTTTTTTGAATTTCTTTTTTTTGGTGGGGGGGGGGGGAAGGGGGGGGAATAGTAAAATTAGACTTAAGTGCAAACAGTGACAATGCAGCTGCCAATAATGATTCCAGCAATTGCAATTTCGACAAGGGGCACATGAAGCTGTGGCCAAACACAAAAAAATGTTTGTCGACCGTCGCTGGAAGCCAATGATTTTTTGTTGCAAAAAAATAAAATAAAACGGACAACTTCCACCCGAAAACATAACGCAGACGCACGCGATGCCACGCGCGCGTCTGCTTGGGCCCTCTCGCGTTGCACCCGAAAGCCACTCACAAAGGGTGGATTCTTTTCATTTCGTTTTTTTTTGGTAAACGTTAAATATAATGTTTACGCTTTTGAAACGAGCAAACTTTTCCGCCGGGTATAATCCGGTGCGCGCCCGTGTTTGCGGGTAACTCGCGCGGCGGCGGAACTCCAGTTTTTGTCAGCTGCAGAAAGTGCACGGCGCGGAGAATTCTCACCCGTCCCCCCCCGCCCCCCCCCCCCCCCGTGAAGTGAAACAGGGAAGCAAGAGAAGAAAAAAAAACCTGCCACTTAGTACAATAATGACGCATTTGTGGGTGGGAACTGAAACAGTTTCCTTAGCAACGATTGTCAGGGTAACCATCATAACCCCCACCACCACCACCACCCTCCTTCCCCATCACCATCGCCTTCCTTTCACCCCTCCTCCCCACCTCCTGCCAGGAGTCCCCGAAGCCTCAGACACCTCCCATTCCTCCTCCCCTCATTTTCCACCCCCCGCCCCCAAAAAAAGCTAAACCCTCTTTTTTTTCTCCGCATCCTCACCTGGTAGAGCTTGATGATGTGCGGATGCGTGAGGAGCTTCATGATCTCCACCTCCCGGTACACCTTTTTGAGATTGCCCTCGTCTAGGTGAGATTTGTCGATGATCTTGATCGCGACCTGGCGGAGCAAGGGCACAAAGAGGCGAGTTTATTTTTTTTGTGTTCCAATACCACTGGACCGTCCTCGTTATCTTTATGTCTTTACCGGCCATACGAACCTACGCACGTGCTGTCTGGGGGCCTGACGTCAGTAAACTTACAGCCTGCTATAGCTCACACATTGTCACCGATTGCAATCACCCCCCACCCCGCCCCAACCCAACATACCGCATAAACCTCAATGGCCCATTTCTTTTATTATTATGCTGGAATTCAGTCTTGGACAGTAAAGATAAAGCTGCCCGTGAAACACGCAGCGACGGTTCGGTCTACGAGATAAACTCAAGACGGTGCTCCCTCCGATAAGATCAAAGTGTGCCCTTCCATTAGTGGCAGATTATAATCCAATCACATTACAGCCCAATCGAAAAACACGTTCAAAGTTAAGTAAAAAAAAATTGGGTGTTTATCGCAAAAAATATCTCCGACTCTCCAACAAAAGGAACAAAAAAATATTACTAATCGAGCACGGTAAGGTTTCATTCACCACGCACGCACACACACACGTGTTTGTTGACGTAAAGAAAGCTGCGTTGTTTACAATTTCGCACACATGCATACCAGGGCACGTAAACGTAACCGTTCTTTTTTTTTAAATCGAGATTCTAAATAAAGAAAATATCAAACTCACTACTGGCATATCACCAAACACAAAACATTAAACACACAACAATTATAACAACAATAGTAGCGAGCTTTAGCAGAGCAATTAAAAACAATACGCCAATTTGAACGACCACTCGGCAAAGGCACACCAAGGGTGAAACAACTGAAGGTTTGTTTGAATGTTTTGTTTAAAATCAGAGAAACTCCGTAGTGTGTCTGCTTAATAATAACCACCACCACCACCAAGGTCACTTCGCCAGAATAAAGCCAGGGGCCACAAAACCACTCGCAGCCCATTAATCCTGGTCTGTAAATTACCTACATATCGTGGAATCAACAAACACCGCTAAGGCCCCCCACCTCCTTCCCCCCCCCCCCGTGCAATATTACACTTCGGTGCATTAATAATTGCATTTTGTGTAACACAGAAATGCTGGAATGCTAAAAATGCCCCCCAACCGGCAACAGTGAAAAGCGGGGCGTGCTGTATCTGGCAAGCGCGTGTTACCGTAGCTTTGCAATTTCATTTCACAGCCTTGCTGCACAGAGCCAGCACCTACCGTGTGCGTGCGTGTACACGTGTGCCTGTGTGTGTGTACGTGCGCGTGTACACGTGCGCGTGTACACGTGCGCGTGTACACGTGTTCGTGTGTGTGTACACGTGTGTGTGTACACGTGTGTGTGTACGTGTGTGTGTCTATGTGTGTCTGGGCAAGGTCCCATCGGTGAGCTCCTCCGGCAGGCAAGGCTGCGATGGCTGGGTCATGTAGCCCGCATGCCCAGCCACCGCATGCCGAAACAGCTTTTTGTTCGGCCGGATCGAGGGGGCTAAACGGGCGCGGCACGGGCTAGAGAAGAGATGGAGTGATGTGGTACAGGAGGACGTGGAGCTGAGTGGACTTGCCGATGACTGGTACCAGCGGTGTCAAGATCGGACTCTGTGGAGGAGGCTCGTGAAGAACGCTACTGGGCAGTTGGAGGCAGTCGCCCTACAACAACGGAGGGCGGAGGAGCGACGCTCACAACAACGAGCGGAGCGCCGGGTGGCTAAAGCACAGCAGGTTGGCACAGTAGGGGGCACAGGTGGTGCATCAGCCACTCATCTCAGTCAGTCGACCCGTGGCACCTGGGTCTGCCCCGTGACCTCCTGCCGGCGGGAGTTCGACACTTCACGTGGCCTCAAGGTGCACATGGCCTGGCACAAGCGTCGTGGTGACGTCACCGCCACTTAGTGGCGAATGGCGGTTGTTGTTGTGTGTGTGCGTGTGTGTGTCTGTTAAGGCTATACGGGGGAGCTTTGTCTTTGTATGTGTGTGTGTGTGTGTGCGGGGAGCGGTGGTGCAGCGGTTAGCGTGCTGCGCTATGAACCTGGTGATCCAGGTTCGATTCCCGCTCACAACCAACACCCAGTGGCGATTATCTAAACCGGTCCTGGGCCTCCCCTAGGTCAACTCAGCCTCAAATGAGTACCTGGTGCGATGTGTAAACATCGTCACTGGGGAGACAAAGGCGGTCGGGCGTGGTGTTGGCCACCCACCCCCTCGTGTGCCGTGCCGGCCTTTATAGGTGCTCGCTAACAGCACTTGCCACTACCGTCTGTTAAGGCTATACGGGGGATCTTTCATCTCTGTGGATGTGTGCGGGGAGCGGTGGTGCAGCGGTTAACGCTACGAACCTGGCGACCCGAGTTCTATTCCCGCTCACGACCAACACCCAGTGACGATTATCTGAACCGGTCCTAGACCTCCCCTAGGTCGACTCAGCCCCAAACGATTACCTGGCATCTGCACCGGGGTGACAAAGACGGCCGGGCGTGGTGTTGACCAACCCACCCCCTCGTGTGCCGTGCCCGCCTTCACAGGTGCCACTCGCTAACAGCACTTGCCCCAACAGTCTGTTCAGGCTATACGGGGGACCTTTGTCTCGGTAGAGTGTAGTGGACGACGCTGGCATGTGGCTAAATGCGTCACCGTCTCCGCGTGTAATTAACGCTCATTCCTTTCACATATTACAGGGAACCTCGCAATCAAACATTTCAAAATCGTCCTGACGATACACACGGAGGGTTTTTTTTTTTAAGTATGGATCGTTGATGGAATAATAAGTCAAATGGTTTAACACTCAAAACTGAATAATTCACCATTGGCCAATCCCCGGCGCTAATGAAAGAGTCGGAGTGTCCGACGACATCCGACACCACCGCAGCATCTCGTGTAGAGATTTTCTCCTTTTGTTGAAAAGGGCGGACAAATGATTTATTTTCCGAGTTACATTCCCCCCCAAGCCGCTTCACGATTATAGGGGTCGTCCATAAATGACGTCACGCGATTTTGGACGATTTTTGACCCCCCCCCCCCCATCGTCACGCGGCGTCACAAAAAGTCAGACCCCACCCTCAAATATGACGTCACAAAGCTCTGCCCACCCCAAACAAAAAAATATAAAACATGCTTAAAATCGCTTTAAAACTATTGTCATTGTAGTGCGTATTTAATGTGGCGCTGCACTGTTGTAGGAGAAAATATTTATTAAAAAGTATATTTAATTAAGTAGAACGTGTTGTCTATATGTATTTAAAGTTGCGCATTTTGATGTGACGTCACATTTCCCAACCCCCCCCTCCCCCAGGTGCGTGACGTCATTTATGGACGGCCCCATAGTCATGATTACCCGCATCTTTAAAGTGGTCTGAAATGCAGCTCGCACGGCTTGCTTGCTGTGCATGTACTAATTGTGGTGCATTGATGCATTCATTAATTTATTAAATTATTAACCTGAAGATTTAGTGCTGGACATAGCAGCGGTCACACATTTGCAAATGTGATTTGTAACATTGATCATTACCTACGTAGTATCGATAGTTCAATGTTAATGCGGCCATTGTATTGGGGACGACTGCTGTGTGGTGTTATCGTGGTGTGGCCTGGGACTGTTGCTGCCTTGCCCAAGCTTGAGAAATCGAAACCTATATAATTAATGCACATAATTATTTATTTATATTTAATTACTTGCTTGCCAGTTGTTTTTCTCTTTGCTGTTGTAACTTGCTGACCCTGCCCACACTGGACACGTGTGAAAAAGAGTTTCACGACTCCTCGGATTCTTCAGGTCTAAATCAAGATTCTGATTCTGAATATTGGGTAGGGGGTAGGGGGGTCTCAATGTTATAATCGCGCACCTCCGATTTGCACCGCTGACTACGTACGGTGCGAAATAAGTTCAACATACATGCGCACGTTCAATTATAACCGGAGCCGTCAGTCCCACTTACATGTGAGCTCAAAGCCACTACCTACAAAGCCAACCTGGCAATTGCTGGGAACACTTTGACTGGGCTGCCAGTCCATGTTGAAACAAACCACAACCACACTGTTCAACACAGCCCTCCGGGGTACAATATACTATACTACTGGTGGTGTTAGATTTAACCCCTTTATATGTATGTTGAAACTTCTTTCGCATTGTATGGAGCCAACCGTGCTAATTGGAGGTGCGGATGGGAGAGGGGACAACAAGCGAAGACAATTCGATTAACTGTTGAGATTCGGTGAACGAGATGCATTTCAAGAATATTTAATTTTATTTCTCTCGCTTTTATCATCTCCTTTGTATTGTTCCTCGGGTTTTGTTTTCCTGTCTCGTATGTACAGATTTGTTTGCACCGTTTAGCCGAAATATCGAACTAGCATGTGGTTCATATGCTCGTTGGCATATGTTGTTCCTTGAGTCTTCAAAAATGAATGTAATTGACGAATCGATGCATGGTTGCACCCCAAGAATGTACCAGGCCTGAAACGCAACTCCAAACTGCGCAGGCTGAGAAAGTGGTGTCGCAACACCACATAAACACGGGGTGTAGATTCACATCAGGCGAGCCACTGGCATTTCATCACATACATGTAATCGCGCTTTACCAACCAATATCGAATACTAAGACTGCGAGTTTATCGCTAACCGATAGCCAGTGGTGGCCAAGGCTTTGAAAGGTCATGGCAGGTCTTGTAAAAATCTGGGTTGTCTGACTAAACTTCACCCACTTAAATTTTGATTTGAAGGTTTCGTGACTGCAGGGATTCATATTATTGGTTCTTTCAGTACCAAGTCACGTAGAAGGGAAACAATAAAATAATAAAAATATAAAACATTTAAATTCTCACGACGTTTCGACTGCAACACAAGCAATCATCATCAGGTGTGAAAACCACAGCAAGAAAATTTGAAAAAAGGTGGCGGTTTTTCTAACGTTAAAAAAAACCTCCACCTTTTTTGAAAATTTTTTAACGTAAAAAAAAAACCGCCACCTTTTTTCAAATGTTATTGCTGTGGTTTTCACACCTGATGATGATTGCTTGT